GGCTGTTTCGCCCTTCGCGCCGTTCTGTTCGGCAACGGAGCGAGCCTCCGAGTCGCTGGATTTCCATGGGCCGCGGCTTTGTCGAGTCGAGTCAAAGAGACACGAGGAAGAAGGGTACGAGAGGAGAGAGAGAGAGAGAGAGAGTGAAAAAAAAGAGAGAAAAGGGAAATGATACCGTGTCCGAGCGATGGGCTCCGTGAAAATCACCGCGGACGCGGCTTTAATCGTCGCACGCCGGATTAGCGGGGGGCCTCCCCCCGCTGCTTTCCTGGTTAACCCGTGGATCGTGGAAACGCGCGCGCTGTCTACGAGATCTCTCCTCCTACCTTCCTGACTACTAAAGCTCGCTGGCTTTTTCCCCCAAGCGGCTGCTTGGCGCTTTCTTGCATTGTCTCATGGATGTCGCTGGAAGCTTCGTACGAGTCTTTGGCTTACAAGTCTGTGACTTGCGCGGCGGGATTCGCATTGCATATAAATTTGATAATTTTTCAGGAATTTCAGCGTTATTTGCCTCTGCCCGCCACGTAAAATATCACGAAAGTATATAATTTAAATTTTGAGAAAATTCAAAGGCAAAGTAGATGATTGGAAGGCTTCGAAAGATACTTCCAAAGAAGAGGCAAAGTGTCTCTCCACCCTTTAAACTTTGCTTTGAATATTCCACAAATTTGCATCCCACTAACCGTAACAACATGAACCAAACAAGAAATTAAAAAAAAAAATCTCTGTTTCAATGAAAAGGAAGCGCAATCGCAGAAGACTCGCCGTGATTTATACAACGATATCGCGCGCAATCATCATGGAGGGTGAGTTTCGAAATCGAGCGAACAAGAGAAGGAGAAAGAGAGAGAGAGAGAGAGAGGGGGGGGAGGAAGAACGAGCAAACTGTTAACGATTTCGTCTGGATTGTGTTTTCTTTGGCCCGAACCACACCCCCCTCCCATATTTCGTTCCCGTGGTCTCCGGCGGCAAACACACTTCGTTAGGCGATCCACTCTCCGTTGTTTCCGAACGCTGGCAAACTATGCACTTTACCCTCTAAACAACCAGTACCTTTAACCCACTTACAACCCTAACGTGCCGTAGACACGTATTCACGGCCAAAGTCGGCGCACGCAGTTTTATTCGTGTCACGAGACTACTGCTGTTTTATCACCAACAAGCTATAACGTGCTTTTCTTTCCCCTCTTCTCTCTTGTTTAACATCGTAGATTATTATAAAAATTCGTAGACACGGGATATAATATAAAATTGGATTTAGTAGATTTATTTGATTAACGATTAACAGAGTGGAAGACTAATGCCTAATAAGAATGTCTGATTTTTTTTTTCCGCATTCAGAATGCAATTTTTCTAAGTTTCACCACGCCCGCAACGTCCACATCCCTTGATAGAACAATAACCACCACTTTCGAAATAACATTCGCGACGATACTGAACGCGGCTGAAACCGAATTCTATATAATAATACTCTCCTGCCCTCTCGTCGATTCAGCAATCATCAGCTACCCCGATTACATCCATCCTTTAACCCCAGCGCAAATGGTGTAAAACAAACGGTTCCACCCCAAGAATCAATCAGACCTCAATCGAAAAGGCCTCGCTGGCCTAAATCGAATCCATCAAACTCCCAAATCTTGAATCAGAGAATCCCGCGAGAGGGAAAAACAATTTCCGCTCGTCGAGAGTGAGAGAGAGAAACCAGGGGCCAAGCAAAGGGATAACACGTCAGAGCGGAACGCGCCATCTTCAGTTCGAGCGTCGGCTAAGAGAGGATGAAGGAAACGTAACGTTAGAGGAGCGTGAAAGAGGTTGGTAATTAACTTTCCAGATTCTTCAATGGGGCGTGTGGCGTTTAAGGATGGGAAAGGGATTGTCGTCGAAGGGAAAAGGATCGTGTAAGGAACGCGCGTTCGATTGATTTACAGGGTAACAAGGCGTGAGTTAGGTTTTAGGTGTAACCTAGGTTAGATTGAACGATTAGGTCAGATGAATCAAAAGTAGAAGTGTATCGATCCAATAGGTCTCACCTTCCGTTTGGAACACTTATGCAGTCTCCAAGCAAAATTGAGCAAAAGAGCTAACGAAAGAAGAAAGAAACAGTCTCGAAACAGTGCGACCCGGGTTGGAAAGCGGGCCAGCGAAAGAAACGCGAGCGACGCTCACGAATAACTAAGAGGAGGGGTAGTGGAGGAAACGTAAGATCGCCGGAGCAGAAGGGAAGGTTGGTAATTAGCCTTTTCTAGATTTTTCGACGGGACGTAGGTATGCACACCTAGATGGGGTACGGGAGAGCATCGGCCGTGAGAGGTGGACTGGTTTCACAAGCAGATGCTCGATTCTTCGGGGATGCTGTGGCGCGGGGCGAAGGCAAAGGCTTCTGTTGCCGGTGCTCCTCGACGTTGTCGCTACTGCTGCCGATGCGGCAGCCGCTTCCGGCTGGCCTCTTCAGCCGTTCGTGAGTGGGGAATCCGACGTCGACAGTCGGCGTACAAAGCTTATTATGCCGGCTCGGCTCTCTTCAGGGCCCCAAAGAGCATGGGCTCGTGCTCGCTGTGCCATGCCACGAGTTAACTTGATGGCACTCGACGAACATCCTTCCTGTCTACATCCTCGATTCGGCTATGCGACAGCCTTCTTCCCGCGCTACCTCCTTAACTCGCTCCCACTCTTTTTTCCATACGATGCTCCTCTCGTTTCTCCTCCTCCTCCTCCTCCTCCTCCTTCTTCTTCTTCTTCTTCTTCTTCTTTTTCTTCTCCTTCTCTACCGAGCGAGGTTGCTCCCTATCGTTCGTCTCTCCTCTCCTGTCAGCGTTCCGTGTTCCTTTTGCCGTCGACCAAGCGTCTTTATTCCCGTCTTTCACCGTCTCGTGCGCGATTTTTCCTTTTCGAAGCTCGACCCAAATAGCACCGCCGGCTTTCAACCCTTCGAGGCGGTGAGTGGAGAAATCCTCTTGCTAATTGGTCGCGTGACGGAGTTTCTACCTAGAAAGATTACCATTTTGCGTGAGTCACCACTGTGAACGCTTGCGCAAAGATTCACGTCGTGGAATCTAGAAGGAGAATCGTTTTATCTACGATAACGCAAGTACTTGCGCGTTCAAGTCTCTCACGAGTACGTAAAAATCCGCAGTCTAGCGACCATCACACCATCAACAAAAAAAAAAAAAAAAAAAAAAAAAAAAAAAATGGAAAATAAGCTTATTAAAGCGATATAACTGTTACAACTTTCGAAACGGATGAAACGAACAAAACAACAATGTTGTCGAAAAGAATTTCAAAGGGAGGGTAGTGTATTCGTCACCCTTAACCTTAAAAAAGGAAAAAAAAGAAAAAACAAATATCTATTTCGAGCATCTGAATTCTGCCTTGGCCGCGCGAACGTTCGAAGCCGGACAGTTTGAATCGTCAGTTTTTGAAATTGGGGGAAAACACGCGGACAGCGACGGACGAAAGTTATCCGCGCCGACGCGAGCGTCGATCGGCAAATGACAAGTCAACAAACTTCCACCATTATTTACAAGCATTATCGCACCGTGCGTGCGTAAACAGGGATATTTGGCCTGGCCTACTATAGCCAGTTGAAAATCACCCGCTGACAAATCACCACGGCGACGGCAAAACGCAAAAAAGCCTCGACTAAATTTGCTTGTCTTTTAAGCGGGTAAATACTTTTCCCATGGAGCGAGTCCCGACGCCAGTCTGTTTGTACGGCAACGCCGCTGTCCAACGAATTTGCTGCTCGATAAACGATATTATATCCGCGAATACGCGCTTAATGAATTTCTCGCCGCGCCGTGCGAAACTTTCGTTCTAATGGAAAGTTGCGCCGCGCTCGCGACAGGCCGTTTAGAAATTTCATAGCACGTCAGCTTCCCCCAGTTGGAGCATTCCTGTCCCATTTTCGTTTCCGAGACTATATGGAAACCTATATGATTTTTCAAACGACCGTTGCTTCGCGAGTGGTTGAAGAAAAACTTTGCAAGTAGAATTTAAGTGGTCGTTCGTCAGACAGATATTCTCGAGCGAATAATCTGAACGAAAATGACCGAAAATGGGAATACCCTTCCCTCTTAAACTTCGTCTATTTGATCACTGTCTCGAAACAGTGCAAGTGTTTGCTGCAGTCTGTCACTTAACAAACTTAATCGAACGAAAATCGTTCCTAAATCCCAGAACACGTGGTAAAACATCTTCGTGAAAACACCGAAAGTCGGAAATTAAAAGATGGTCATTGTCATCCAACACAAGTGTCGCGCACCTCGTATTGTCCGTTTTCCTTGAACTTACACAAACGCGCACATCTACGCGCCACGACAGTTTCCAAGGAAAGTTTCACCTCGCGCCATCTAGCATACAATTTGCCACGCGTTCGTTCACGTCCAGCGAGACGAACCGCGCGAAGTTTACATACATATACATATTCCGCGTGTCCAGCTCGCGGAATGAGGAAATGAAAGGAAGGAAGAGGAGAACGAAAGCGGAGAGAAATGGAAGAAAAACCGATAGCAATAACCGGGAAGGAGAAACCGAAGGGAAACAATTGGATCGCGCGGATGGTGTGCCGGAGAGCTCTGTGGCTCGACTGATCGCCTTCTACCTCGAAAAGCCTTATATAGGCTTCCCCGAATTTTGTGGTCCACTTAACTAGAAAACCTGGTGCTTATCCGACTCCGGAGCCGCTGCAAAATTACACGCTTCGGCTTATCAAGCCGTGAAACTGGTATTAAGCGTCAGACGAACGAACGCGCGGGCGCTCCTGCACGCGCGCGAGGAACCTTCGCCGGAGTGCTGAACCCGGAATGCACCAGTAAGCTCGTTTCCTAGGGTTCCTGCTATATAACTATGTATATATACACGGATATCGTTCACC